AGTTGCCTATTTGCCTAGCCCTGCAGATGTGAATTATTGTGCGCTTAAGCAGCTCCCGGATAAGCAAGTTTTTTATTGTTTCCTTCCAAGTCTATTTCATTATATCATGGTGAAGTAAAATGTTTCCAAACATCGTCGTTTATTTTTTTACTAAGATCAATTGTCAGCATTTTATTTCACTCACTTTATTTAAAGTTGGCCTGGCTAAGCAATGTTTTTATTTTTTTCCAGTTCTACGGTTAATGTTCCCTTGGATTCTTCACGTACGGATATTAAACCCTTTCTAGGTCTAGCTTTCAAATTAGAGGTAATTTATCACTAAAACTGAAGTCTTAGACAATTTAATGCGGCATAATAATAGATTATAGACTAGTTTAAAAAGTTAAAATATCCTGATATATTGTTAACGAAGTTTTAATTCTCGGTATTTTTGTCCCACTGTAACTAAGCGTATTAAATTCTTACATTGAAAAGCCTTGTTTGGTTCCTTTCTAACAATTTAGATACACCGTACTCTAAGTTAGTTTTACTTCATGTGTCATTCATCCATTACTTCACTCGGATGTCGCAAAATGTTCACAATGCATTGTTTAAAAAATATGTACGCTCATATTGCTAATAGCAATGGTCATACTTAGTCCCAGTCAATTGTTTGATGACTTGTTATCACTGTTTGCGTCATTATGCAGTTCATATTCCCCATTGCATGTACTTCTTTAGTCAATATTTGTAATCCTTGCAATCTTTCATAATCCTCAGAATATTTCCATTTCATATACGCAATTTATTTTGTTTAGGCAAGCAAATTTGGTCAGCTCACCTACATGCGAGTTTATCAAGGCTGTCTAAATCGCGGAGACACAATATGGAATATGCGGTCTAACAAAAAGTTTCGCATCTCTCGCCTCGGCCGTGTAAATGTGCAGAATTTTGAAGATCTCGAAAAAATTAATTCTGGTGATATTGCAGCCCTGTTCGGTATTGAATGCTATTCGGGCGATACCCTCGTAGATCAAGTATTAAAGAAGGACAACTTGCATATGGTATGCTTCTTTAAATAAAATATATGCCCTTGATTTCTACAATTACAACCAACTATGAATATTTTAAAATCATATTAACTGACCTTTACAAAGATATTTTTTCTATAGCATACAATGATCATTATCAGAATATGGAATTATTATAAGTAAATAAAAACTCGTTCCGTAATTAACATCTTTTGAGTATAAACGAATTACGAGTCATTAGGAGCACACAGGCTAGTCGGATTGTCAAACATTAGCATA